ATGTCCACGGCTAAGGGTCCCTGAATAGGGCTAATATTGACAGTAGCTCATGTAGGATTCTATAGGTTTCATAAGAGGGTTTTACAGGGCTATATGAGCTGGCGTCAAAATTACTTGTTTGTGGTAATGGTGGAATTTTCATGCAGGGTGCCCCGTATCGTTTTGCACATCATGAAAAAGAACATGGAAAATGAACACGAAACTGTGATTCTATTGAGATTTGTAGGGTTGATACTGGAAATCCCTCCCAAGGTATAAGGTACTTAGGGTCACGCAGGATTTTTATTTGCATCTTTATGACCCATTACTTACCCGATAGAACCCTACAAACCCAGCAAACAGGTAGGTGCCCATATCAGGCACCCATGGTTAGGACCGTGTAATGCACCGTGCCTCTGTGGGGTTTTAATGCTTTCCAAAAAGGACCCCTCATGTTTGGATTCACAGCTTCATGAGGTTCAGGCCTTAGGTATTTGACTTGGGCTAAATCAATACACAAGACTCTAAACAATCTCTAAAACATTTAGGGAATTATTCAGCAAAAGCCAAAAACCCTAAACAGCAAACCCTGACTCCCAGCGTCAAATGGAGGGTCTTGGAGGAATTTGGTCTGGAGAATGGGGTCCAGTGACACAACAGCCTCATGGTTCTGGTACGTGTTCATATTGTAAGGAAATTAACTGCCTATAGTACCTAAGCCCGCTAGCAAGAAATATTTTGGAAGTGCCGAAGCTCAAACGAAGGGTCCCGCGGCTGTCATAGTATGCTCATAGGGTGTTCTCAGTTTGGGCTACCAACTACTCCTACCTAGTAGTTTCCTTTGATAGAGCATACCCCCATTAATTAAGGATCGCAACCTTTTATTTCATTTATTATGGGGACCACCCCAAAGGGAACAACTAATTTTTAGGAAATCCCAAATCGACTCATAAATGTCAAGCTTACGATATTCTGAACTCTGCCGTGCGTCACAGCTGATCGAATTTGGAGGAGCGGCCAATGCTTTTTTTGGCGACGGTCGAGGTAGGCGTTGAATCTAGAAGAATACGGTTTGAGGCTTCACCATTCTGTAACTATGGATATCTCACATGTAGATGTATGAGCCTACACGCTCACCCACAGTTGAGGAATTCTTCAGGTTTCTGTGTTTGTACATGCTGCGAGATCTTCCTGGCAGCACTTCAGACCCAAAACCCTATAATATCATTATTATTATTACCGTTGTTACAATCATTACTATTATTACTATTACTACTAGTACTGTCACTATACTATTAGTACTATTACTACTATTACCCTAAACCCTGAATAGAGATGAGCTGTGGGATGCAAAAGTCACATTGTCTCGTGTGCTCCAGGGCGAAGGGATGGTAAGGCAGCTGTAGCCCCCCGAGTTGCAAAACACACAAAAACTGTAGGGATCCAAGTAGCCCAGTGTAGGTAACATTTACAATGTAGGTATTATTCGCATACTTTAAACCCCAAACCCTTGGATCCCTAGGGAACCCTCCTGTGATAATAGTAGCAATAATAGTAATAACGATGACCGTAATAAGAGTAATGATAACAGTAGTAATAGTAATAATGGTATTAGTGGGAACCCTCGTGAAACTCTTTTCTTGCCGGCAGCCGCTGAAGAGCAACTCTTCGCAGTGTCGAGTTGTGTGCTTGAGCACGGTATGCGCCAAAAATACAATTCCCAAAAGGGGTGTGTCAAATTTTGAAGGGTTTCGGGTCTATATGGATTCGAAGTTGACGTGGGCTTATAGGGATCGTATAGGGATCGTAGAGGGTTTACTGTTGCGTGACTCGTCTGCACTCCCAATTACGAAGACCAGGACTTCAGATCGGATACATTGTCTTGAGAACCGCCCCTTGCTTTACGCACTGTCCATCCTGAAGACAAGACGCACAGAAAGGGATCACCAATTTGGCACATACCCGCAGCATGTATATAATCCCTGCATGATGTCTGCTCTTCCTGCCCATACAAACCGCGTAGAATCGGTCAGCTTCTGTATATACTCCTTGCAAACCCAAAGGTAAGGGATCCACACTTTGAGGGCGACTGATAGCAGGGTGTCTCGTCTGGATGCGTTTCCCCAGGTGCACAGACTTCCCAGCTCAGTCATCCTCTGCCTCAAGGACTGGGAGGGCTTCACCCAGAACCTATATTACTAAGGTCCCCAGGCAACCTATCCACAACGGAGGCTCAATTTCGTTCGCACCGCCGTCAAGAAGGAAACTAGGATCCCTGAAAGAAAACTGGGTTGCTGTTAAGGAACTTAAATTAAGTTACCATAATGGGTATATATAGTAAATAATAGGGTTTCCCCAATGTAGTAACTTAAGTTAAGTTCCTTAACAGCAACTCAGAAAACCGTTGGACCATCCAGATGAAGTGTCAATCTTTCATGATCCTTCAAAGCTCGCTATGCCTGGGTCAGTAGTACATGCAGGCTCATTGTAAATACAGCAGGCGCATTCTATAAATCCATAACTGGCATCGTTTTAGCGCCTGTTGTGCTAAAGGAGCTTGCCCTTGCCTCTTTCATCATTGGCTCAAGGTCCTAAATGTCTTCATAACTAGGAACTCTTCCGCTCCTTGAACAGGGAGAACTTGTTGTCAGTCCAATGCCAGCATGGAATCCTACAATGATCAGCATGCTAGATGACATCTCAAAACCTCCAACACAACAACTGACCCTGCACCCCAGATCCTAAACTCCAAACCCTAAACCCTACCAATCCTATCCATTGCTGGCTTGAGAATTTGCCAGTCCTTGAGGTTTCAACCCCACAGGCACAGAGCCCGCAACAGCTCAAAACTATCTTCCTTGGCTGCCCTGCATGGCTGGAGAGCTGGACGCTTGTCGGACTCAGCTTTTACGACTCCATCTTTGGCTATGGTTTGCAGGTTCAGGGTCTAAACCGTGCCTGTAACCCCAATAACCTACAGATTGGTAGTACTTACCCCATATTCATCTAAAACTGTAGGTACCTAGACCCTTATGTAAGGGTACAAGGAGTGTCCTGGAAATTTGGCTCCCTTTAACCTCAACAAATATGAGATTTGCAGTCTTCAATTTTAGGGTTTAGGGTTTACAGTCTCCCTTAATTAAGTAAATAGAAAATGGCTTTGGGTATGTTATAGAAGATCCTCATAACATACCCCATATCCTATCTACTTCAGGGGGACTATAGGGTGTCCCTCGCTCCAGCAGTTGCAAGGTTCTCTCATCCAAGGACTCCCAGGCTCTCACTATGAAAGTAATCAACAAACTGTTTTTTGGCGCTTCGTTCTACTTGGAACCACTTGTGTACACGTAGAAAAGTGCGTCGCACAAAGTATTTTGGCATGTCTACATTTTTCTAGGTTGCAGGGTTACTTCATTCAGGGGGCCAGAAGAAAGGTCAATGGAGACATTCAGTCTAAATGGCTCTGGTACAGCCTGGTACCAAACAACGAAAAACATCCACTTTGACACTCAACGCTTTCTGGTCTCTTACAGTAATTTATGGGGATGACTTTCTCTGGGGGTTATGCTGCCGACTGCTGGGGATTTTTTTACTTGCATGAGTATGGGGCCTGTCCACTTTTATGTCGATAGCCCGCTAGCTAGGCTTTCTTGTACTTACATCGAGACTAGCCGGGACTCATGTCAGACTGTCGGCAGTTTTTCAAGAATATGCCCTCGCCCTCGAAACAACACACAACACTGGTGCTTTCGGTCTCAATATATATGTTGCAACCAAACCCATTTTCATCCTTCTCGCATGCGTGTAGCTCAGGAATATATGGAAACGGACAGGATACCCGATGCCAAGCCCTTGTGCACGAGTGAGGGGTGCGCAGACAGTCTTCGTACCTCACACTCTTTTTCATAAGGAGTTCAACGTAGTCTAAGGACTTCGGGTTGCAGGCGTAGGCTTTAATTCTCCAGCTCTGCATGTTACATTCAAGTTAGTAGAGCCTAGCCTGCGAAAGCCAAAGCTGCCATGTACCCCATGCCCCTCCCAATCATAGAATCCTTCGGCCCCACCGACCCAATGCTCTGTAACCCCAACCCTAAACCCAAAACCCTAAAGCCCAAACCCTACTTCATCCATTCAGGGGGACGTCAGGCAGCCAACCTAAACGCAAGCAACCCGGTGTCGAGAGCCCAAGAGATGACATGAAGGCTGGAAGCAGAGGCCCCCAGGCTTCAGGGGTCTTACTGGGGGGTGAGTAGGGAATAAGGGAATTCTTTATATAGGGACTAGCCCTAACCACAATATATACCCCCATTACAATATAGTAGTTTCCATTTTCTTCTCCATTATCCCCATATTACCCCTATATTCCCTTATTCCCTACGGTAAGGTACGTGTGACTGATTACTTTCTACGTAGTCTTAGCAGGTCGCAGTGTATGGTAGACAATAGGCTCGCGGGGGGTTGAACAAGATTTCTATGGGTTTAGGGTTTAGCAGGTTGAACCGCTTCAGGGATACTCCCCCTAAGGGTCCATGTACCCAATGCCTATAGGGTTTTTGGTGATAGTAAGTATACAGGTTTTGGGTAATTAGGGGTACCTTTTGGGGGTGTTAATTATAAGGATCATACTATTCTGGGGTCTATATTGGGGTCCCCTTGTTTTTTGGGAAACTACCATTCGATCAGCAACCTTCTCACATACTGTAGTTGACGGCTTGTGTGGCTGCATGCTTTTGATTCGATGGCATTGCGGGCTTGAAGCCTTGCATAGGTCAGATAAAGGTCGCCTACAGATTCCTAACAATGACCGGGCTTCGAATGCTTATCTGGGTTGCTGTTAAGGAACTTAAATTAAGTTACCATAAAGGGTATATATAGTAAATAAAAGGGTTTCCCCAATATAGTAACTTAATTTCGGTTCCTTAACAGCAACCCAGTTATTGTAGAAGCCCCTGACAGAATTCCTGATAGCCGTTAGGTGGGTTCAAGCCTCACATGAAGGGCCCTTGGTTCCAACATTGGACCTAAGCCTTCAGACGCTCATCGAGGATAGCCAAGAGCTTTTTGACCTTCCTCAGGGTGCACTCTAAGGGGTTTGGGGCTTCACGTAACTTAAAGGCGTAGAATTCAATTGTCAGACAGACTACGCTCGGATGGTAAAGTAAAAGCAAGGGTCGCACCTTTCGGACCTCCATTACAGGCGTGCCATGCAAGCGCTAGCTCAATGGTTAGGAGTCTACATAGGAATATTAGGGTTATATTGGGGTTATATTGGGATAATGGAAAAGAAAATGGAAACTACTGTGGTAATTATAGGGATCCATTCGCTGGTTGGAGGACTTGGTCTTCAAGGCTTGGAGGTTCGTGGGAAGGGCCTGTCTGAGATTCAGAGCCAGGGTGCAAGATTTTCGGAATCTTCCTGAAACTTGTCACACCACGCATATGGTAGTTTCCCTATTTAAGGGGACCCTAATGTAGACCCCAATATACTATGATCCTTATTATAGGGACCCCCAAAATGATACCCCTAATATTGGGAAACTCCCATATATGGCACAACGTGGCTTTAAGCTGCCAGCGGCATGGATCTCAGTACGTATCTGCAAAATCTGAGGGGTCACCCTGAGATGGCCGAACTTACGAAACTCCCTGTTACAGCGTTGATAGGAACTACTCAGCATCAACACCTCTAGCCATTTTCTTCTCCTTTCCGGCCGCGCAAATAATGCTTGGAGGCTTGCAGTGCAGTCAGGCAAGAAAACGCTCAAGCTCAAGCTCTAACCGCGCAATCTTCCCATGGCCCTGTAGAACTTCTTGTTCTACGCTACGCCTACCTAGCACCTAGCAACGTAGAGTAACGTAGAGCTTCCGGTGTACACCACTCGAACAGCACATCTGGGGCAAAAATCCTGTAAAATCATGCCCTACAAGCAGAGTGGGCTGCGCAGGGATGCACGAGTATCGAACGAACACATCCGGTCATGAATCGGTTTTGTCGGGTCTGGTTTAGCTAGTTGACATGCTAATCTCCTGCGGAGAACAACCTCAAAGCCTGTCGTGTGAGTAGAACTGCGGCACGTAACAGTATGTTATGAAAGTTACCAAGAAGTTAACAAGAAATGGGGTCCCCACGCTACAACATACTATAATCTTTATTGTTCTACAGACGCTCCAAAAGGGACCCTTAAAGTCTGGAACCCCAAATATCCATGGCTAGAAAAGCCCAGACTGGGGTCTTTGCAGTTACAAGGTCTCCTTTCGGAACCCACGGGGCCTCATACCACTGAACTCACGAATTTTGCCTAAATCATCTTTTGGATCCGCTAACATCATGCAAGTGATGTTCCTGAAGAATTCTAGGATGTACTGTGCTCTCCGAGAAGTTGTAGCTCTGCGTGCTTCGTTTTTGATGCCTCAAGGAAGAAGCGCCACCAGGACGGCAGTAGACAAAATCAGTACCAAGACCGGATGGGGCTCGTAGCCCTTATGATGGCAGCTGTGCCTGCAAACTTACCCAACAACAAATCAACCTCCCGGAAACCGACCGTGCTGCAATAAGGACAGCAAAATTCCTTTCAAAGGCTGCACTTTGAACATGGCCTTTATACAGGCTCAGCAATTCAAGGAAAGCGAAACACTGTTTCCCAAACCCTGTCACCGATTTTGTGGTAATACTGCGCCATTTATACCCTCAAACACTAATATGGTCCTGAATTCTAAGTGTTCCTGACCCTAGCACCTACACCCCATATCCGGAAAACAAACGCAGCCCCAAGCGCGCAACAAAACCATTGGGAGAAACATTGGGTACTGCCCCACCCAGTGTCAGTCTACAACAGCGGCCAGTCATATCAAGGGTTGAACATATTCACGACATACTTCTTTTGCAACTGTTACTGAGTGGGGGGCAGTACCCACCCTAAACGCTAAACCCTGAACCCGTAACTCTACACCCTAAACCCCAAACCCTAAGCCCTGGACCCTAAACCCTAAACAAGCGTCTGTGGAGATGGCATCTTGCGCTTGGCGGCCAGGCTGCGCTTCAACATCTCGCTGGCCTGCCCAAGCAGGTTGGGATATCTAGGGATATACAGGGGTATATGGGGAAATATAGGGCTATATAGGGATATATAGGGGTATCTAGGGGTAGGGTATATTGGACTGGGTTATATAGGAATAATGGACAGTTAAATGGAAAATTAAGTGCAACATGAAATGGATCCGTTTATGCTAGATGTGAGGGTTTCCCAGAATTATGGGTAACCTTTGGGGGGTCCCTATAATAAGGACTATAGTATATTAGGGTCTATATTGGGGTCCCCCTGTTTTGGGAAACTAACATGTATGGTTTAGCGATTCACCTCCAAACCTCGAGGGTTGAGGGCCTACAGGCTCCAAAAACCCACAGCACTCAGGGCTCAGGGTTGGGACGCCCAAAAGGAATGGGGTTTAGGGTTTAGGGGTTTAGGGGTGTAGGGTTTAGGGGTGTAGGGACACGAAATAACTAACAGTATGAGGCGATCAAGTCGCAAGGGCTTGGGATATCGACTGACCTTTCAAAAGAATGGTGCGCACGTAGGGGAAAACGCAGTAACAGGAGCATGTATGTCGGCTTGCCGGCTCAGGTGTTGAGATCAGCGGTTGTTTTTGTCTGTGTCAGGTGGTGAAAGTTATAGGTGTGCCACTCGGGCCATGTACCCTGAGTAGGAAGAACGCGGAAGCTTAGATGTCTTGCAAGATGGAGTGCATGCCTTGGGGCTCGTCCACTGGTGGCGAAGATCAGTTCGCACAGATGTCTATTGCGCGTGGTGCTGTCTAGGGCTTGTGGGATTTACGCTTCGTGCTGGAATCAACATTCCATGCATTGCACATGAGGCACTGTTTGTCGCATGGTCGGTTTGAAAACCAGAAGTGTCCCAGTCTCGAACCTCAAAATAGTTGGTGCTGTACTACAAATTGTGTGCCCCAACACTTTCCCGGAGGGTCCAAGCAAATTTCATATACTTCCCCAAAACCTGTATCAACTACCAGTGCCAACATCCCAAGTACCCTATGACTGGGTACATGGACCCTTGGGCCCAGTTACCCCAACATACCCCTACACAACCTTCATAGCCCTATATAACCGTACATAACACTGGGTACGTTACCTATGGAGCCTTAGGGTTTCAGAAAAACTTGTTTAGGGTTTAGGGCGCGCCTGCTTGACACAGACCTCAGCAACCTTGTCCTGGATCACGAAAGGGCAATATCTGCCTTTGATCCCGGATATCCTAGGAAGGAAAGGGTGCCCCTCTTCTGTGGCATACCTAAGGAATGCAAGGGACGTAAGACCGCCCAAAACGTGCAAAAGTGGTATACTTAAGAAATGTAAGGGATGTAGGACCCTCAAATGGGAAAAATGTTGCTTAATCTCTCCCCTACTATTGAAACCCTCACGCCCCCTAGTATTAAATACTCCCCATTGTGGTACATTATAACATACTTGGAGTGCTTAATATCAGGGGCGGTGAGGGGACATAATAATATCATAGTCCCCCTTAAGTAGATGGAATATGGCTTTGAGGTATATTATAATAAGATCCCCATATACCCCATATTCTATCTCAAAACCCTAAACCTCAACCCTAAATAGTAGTTTCCATTTTCTTTTCCATTATTCCCAGATTCTATCTATTTAAGGGGGACTACAGAGGGAGGGGGTTACTGCAGACCACAGCTGCCCAACCACGTGGTCATCTGAGGCTCGATCTCATTGACGAAAATCTTGTACCCCAGCTTCCTTGGCCTTTAGGGTTTAGGGTTTAGGGTTTAGGGTTTAGTCATGTACTATAAGAAAGAAGAAGGTTTAGGGTTTAGGGTTTAACGAACTTATTCAATGTACCATAACAGGTATATATGGGGGTTTCCCAATATTAGGGCTACCATTTCGGGGGTTCCTATGATAAGGACTATAGTATAGAGGGGTCTATATTGGGGTCCCCTTAAATAGGGAAACTACCGTATATATAGATAAATCAACATGGTTCCCCGGTCCCCCATTCTAGTACTACCTAAACCCTAAGCCCTAAATTGAATTCCGTAACAGCAACCCAGCTTCTTGGACTTGTCTGGGATGATGCCGATATCGATTCGGTTGAGCAAGGAGTCGATACCTTGCACAGGGTCCACGACAAAAAAATCTGAGCCCTGTTGACATGGAAAGCTCAGTAGTCTGAGAACTTTCAATGACATTATTCAACCCCAGCTACCTCCAGCTTAGTAGTAAGTACCCCTTCATTCATGAGGATAACGCAGAAACCTGTAGGTAGTTGATGGTAGTTTGTATACCTCAAGCGTCCAATGACTAGTGCTCCCGAAAACCATGCCCAGAAGGAATGCAAAACTGAACAGAGCCCTTGAAACACCCTGCGAGGGTTCCCACACTTCTCCCAACCCGTGGAATGCTTCACCATATCAGACCTTTCAAGCATACCAAGCCCAAATGTGCAAATACATTGAAATAGGTTAGGATGTCTTGCCGAAACGGGCTGCGCTTGCCCTCCCACTTGTGGACTTTCTTGACTTCCTCATATGTCTGAATGGCCAACCTGCTCGCAGGCTTAAGGCTCCAAGTCGTGGCGTGAGCGTGCGCACCCCCCGAGCGAACATGAGCGCACAAAGGGCCCCAAAAAAAGATTACTCTTACCGACCGTCACTTGGAATGATTTCTCGATCGATTCTGAAAAATTTGGCCGCACGAACAATTAGAATGAATCAGGAGAACAAAATAACAAAAAAAAAAGACGTAACACTTAGAAATAGAAATGGCCAAAAGCACTTAGAATAAAACAAAACAGGAAATGACACCCCTCACAATACTTTCGTGCGCGTGCCCGATTTTTAGACGGTCTTGTTTGACCTGCAGCCACCTTTTCTTACTGTACGGAAAGATACAGTACAGAGTCCTAGAAATAGACTCGACAATCTATTTCTAAGTGATGTGGATTCCTGATCGATGTTGTTTCTAAGTGTGTTTTCTTTTTCTTTATATCTCTTTGTTTTCATCGATTTTGGGTGTATCTTTTTCGTGCCACGACCAATTATTTTATTCTAAGTGACGGTCGGTAGGTGTAATGTCCTCTGAAATGAGGGCCATATCAGCTTCCATGTTTGTTGGGGGCAGGGTACGGTACCTGCGGTTCCGGGGCACCAGGTCTTGGGATCTGAGATATCGGATTCAGTATTCAGGTGATCATGCTTTTGAGGTTCCGTGTTCACTTTAGGGTATGAAGGGGCTAGGTCGCAGACACGGGGCTCAGGTTTCCGAAGTAGGGCTGATGATTTACAAAAACTTGGGATATGCAACAGTACTAGGATGAGCCACAGTCCCTACTCGGAACATGTCGTGCGATACATGAAGTGCTGAGTTGCAGTGAACCTTGTATTCTCTAAATGGTGGTTAGTGAGGAATAAAGGAATAGAACCCCTTTATAGCCGCAATGCGATATGTTCCCTTACTCCCTACTATAGACCCAATATATACACCCTACTATATTCTAGTAGCCTCCATTTTGCTTTCCATGATGACTATATAACATTATATAACCCCAATATATTCCCTTATTCCCTACTAAGCCCCAGTAAGTTCTCATCCTTCAAGATGGAGTCATCTAAGCTAGTAAGCCTAGCAGCAAAACTGCACATACCGCGGTCGACGTCTATTCCTGGAGCCTGTATCATGAGTCTATACCATCTAGGGTTTGGGGTTTAGGGTTCAAGCGCCAATGCGAGCCTCATCCAACGATCCCATGATCCCTTTGTAATCCACAGACTGCCCTGCAAGTCTCAGGTTCTCATAACCCACTACGAGATGATGATCCCAGCACTCTTCCCACAGCAAAATCGTAAACCCTGAGCCTTGTGCTTGACGACATGCCATAGCCCAGTTCCTTCTTGCATGAAGTGAAAACCCAAGCGTATCCCTGTAGAACTCTTCTCAGACCTTGCAGACGACTGCAGGATGTGCACAGCCCCCCTTTCCAACTCAAACATCGCTTCTAAACCCAAAGCTAAATAACCACTTGATCCTCAAAACCCTGAACCCTAAGCCCGGAACCCTTAAAGCCGAATCCTAGGTGGCGAACTAACCCTAACTCTTGCAACTTTAGCCCTGAACTCCAAGCCCTAAAGCCTACGCCCATGATCCTAGACAAACATAATCTCCTCCACCAAGCTACTACGAAACCCCAAGGAGACCCCATTTAAACGGACCGTAATCGTTGCAGGGGCTTCTAAAACCCCAAACAACCCGTGTTAGATTCACGGAGGGTAACAAACCTAGACCTTAAATCCTAAGCCTTAAACACCCTAAACCCTAAGCCCAGCCACTTCTTGCAGGCTTCTTTGAGCTTGCCCGCAGGTTGCTCCCAGAAACCTTCGTAGTCCACGCCATCGGTGTAAACGGAGTAGGCCCACCTGGGTTTAGGGTGTAGAGTCTAGGGTGCAGGATTAAGGGTGTTGAGTTTGAGGTGTAGGGTTTAGGGTGTAGAGTTTCGGGTTTAGGCTTGAGGCGTTGAGGGTTAAGGGTGTAGAGTTTAGGGCGTAGGGTTTTGGTTTCTAGCTTGGGAATATAGGGATTAGTTAGTGTAACATAGGGATTATAGTGGGAAAGGAAATGGAAAGGCTTGGGAGCAGAGGGACCATATGGTGTAATATAAGGGCTAGAATGGACAAGAAAAGGGAAACTACTCCATCGGAGAGTCAAAGCAAACCTTTAATGGAAATGACATGGACACAAGGCTTTATAGCGGTGGGGCTAAGGGTTTAGGGTTTATAGGGCTTACGGTTCGGGGCTTAACTCCACGGCTTTGGTTCTGGCATCTAAATTAGGTTCAGGGTCTAGCTGTGCATCGACTTAGATTGCAATTACAGATACTCCTTTGGTTTAGGGTTTACGGGGCTTCAGAACGATTTCTCGTGCATTCCAATCCGACCTGAATCATGAGCGACGTTCAGGGTGCCAAACATCAGGATAGACGGGGGGGTCCCGAAAATTATGGCCCCTTTCTGAAGGTCCACAGAATGAGGATTACGTAAAGCATTTTTGGATCTTTATGGGATCCGCTATTGTATAGAAACTGCCAGACATTGTCTTCCCAGGCAGGGATACGACACAGATGAGCATGTGATTTGTCTATTGCTTCGGTGGTGCTTGGGCTCCAGCTCCTTGATAGCAGCTTACAAGACTGTAACATGCAGGAGGCCAGCTTTTGCTACGGTTTGCTGTGTGCATTGAAAGACAGAACATGGCCGTGCTCTGTGCAGTGGTGCACTGGTGTACCTGAACATCCACTGCAGTTCTCGTGCACAAGTCTTGACATGTTTAGGCAACGTGGGCCCGAGAGTGTTTTCTGGCAGTTTCACAACATGAAGGTGTTCCAGGGACCCAAAGGATACAAGGGATCATGATGACCGTATTGGATGGTTATGCTTTCTTACGGCTAACCTGTAGACCTATTACAAACATGGGGCCTGAGAAGGTGGAAGACCAGCAAGGCAACATCTTATGGCAGCTTAAGCTTTAGGATTTAAGGTGTGCGAAACAAGGCTGCAGGGGCTGGCCAACACTTGCAGGTCAAGGTACTCACCGTCGATGAAAAAGTTTCGGATCTCGTCGAAGACGTTGCCGTTGGGCTTCAGCATGTAGGGCTGCACAAGGAACCTCAGAACCAGTTGCAGTTCTCTACGAACCTTGTAGTCTGTGGTGTTCTCGATGTTGCTGTTGCAGCTTTGTAATTATACATGTGTATCATAAGTATGTTTCTGTTTTTGGCCGTAGTGGTGGTATCTAGAGCAACGCTAACACCTCCAGTGTGAGACTGCTACTATGGCCATCAGGTGCGTCTCAAAAGAGACATGAAGTCCCACTACCAAGGCTCCCAACACAGCTAGGCCATTCACTCCTACATAACCCCTACAGGACGCCTGCAAACAAAACACTTTTTACCAGCCCAAATAGCCCTGCGCAACACCCATGGGTTCTAAGCCAAGGAGCTCCTTCTGATGCTTGTTCTCCGCCTGGGCATGGGATTGGTCGTCTTCTGGGGGAGGAGGGCGGCGTTTGCGCTTTATGGCCCTCATCTGGGCTTTTTACTCACGCGGTCGCCGTTTGGATAGACCTTGAGAGCACTTTGGAACAAGGGGTGAAACTTAGTAGAGAATTGGTGCATCAGTATAGGTTGGGTCCTGCCCCACCCATGAAGAGTCTACAATATGGATCATATTAAAGGGTTCTGTGACTATATTATACTGTTTTCTCCAACTGTTACTGAGTGGGGGGCTGTAGCCTCCTTTTAATTGGCTCTCAGCTTCCTGGCGCCATTTTGAGGTTCCATGTTACCTTTGGGGAAGATAAAGCAAATAAAGACCCCAAATCCTGCAAATTGTACATCCCTCTCATAGGCTAACATCCGGCAGCTGAAGCCTAAACCCTCAGCCCTAAGCCTTAAACCTTACACCTTAAGCCCTGCACCTTACACCCTAAACCCCAAACCTGAAACCCCAGAGCCTAAACCTTAATCCCAGGGCCCTAAGGCCCAAACCCTACATCTCAAACCCTATAGGGCCTGGAGCCTAAACCTTACACCCCAAAGCCTAAACCCTGACCCCAAAACCCTATAGTCCCCCTTAAGTAGATAGAATATGGCTTTGGGTATTCTATAACAAGATCCCCATATACCCCTATATTCTATCTACCTAAGGGGTAAAACCCCAAACCCTAGACCCTAAACTCTAAATCCTAAAGCCCTGAAACCTTAAAACCCTACAACCCTAAAACCCTACAATCCCACAACCCTAAAACCCTAAACCCTAAACCCTAAAACCCTAAACCCTAAACCCTAAAACCCTAAACCCTAAACCCCCAAACCCTAGACCGTGCTTTTTGCCGTGGCCGGCTCTTTGGCACCTCACAGCTTGGAGTGCGCTGGGGCGTGGCTGGAGACCCAGAGCGGCCTTTGTTAGACTGGGTTTAGGGTTTAGGGGTTTAGGGTTCAGGGTTTAGGGTTCAAGGTTTAGAGTTTAAAGTTTGGGATTTAGGGTTTAGGGTTTAAGGTTTAGGGCTTAGGGTTTATGGAGTATAGGGATTTTTGCATTGAGGCTGTATGGTACTTTCCCAAAATATGGGGAACGCTAAAATAGACCCAACAAATTACAATCTAGATCATGACCTTTGAAGGGTACCCCTAACTTCCGGGAACCCCATATAGGGATATACAAGTCGAACGAGGAAGAAAATGGAAACTACCATGAGACATAGACAAAACTCCTAGTATCCTCCTTCACCCCTCAAGTCTTGACCTGGGTTTAGGATTTGGCGTTCAGGGTTTAGGGCTTAGGGTTTGGGATTCGTTCTGAACGTCCTCGATCCTCATTCAATTAAGGATATCTTGCAGGTGTGCTTTTTAGTGAAAATCAGACACTTGCGTATTGTACAGCCTAAAACCCCAAACCCTAAACTCGAATCCTATGATAATATAAGCTGTAGTCTACACTCCTAGCATGCCCCTCAAGAACCCCTATGCTGCTCCCCTATATTACCCCCTTTAAGGAATTTAGACTATAGCTCCTCGGCCTCAGACTTCTCGGTACTTTGAGGGGCCCTGTAGTGGCTTCTGAGGCAGGGAACGCGGTTTAGGGCTCAGGGTTTTAATGGGGTTCCTGTAGCATTGCTATGGGTCACAATGGGCGGATACTGCTTCACCCATCTCCCTGGTCCCTCCTCAACTTTTCACTGTGATCCACTATGGGCCATTAGATCTTAAGGGTACCTTAATCTACCCTTAATAGTGTCCTAATAGGGAATTTTAGGGTCTAATAGCCCATAGTGGATGTTTACACGGAACAAACTTCGGGACACAGCCAGCACAAACCCGAAATGGAGCCCTTCACAAGAAGCTCCTGCAGGTCGGCGGCCTTCGTGTCAGATCTTGTCCAGGTTGGCAGCCTCCACCCAGCTTTAGCTTAGGGTTTAGGGTTTAGGGTTTAGGGCTTTGTAGGTTTTATGGGTCCAAGGCCACAAGGTTTTGGGTTCAGGGTTGAAACTGTGGCGGTGTCGGGTCACTGGCACCATGACGCGCAGGAGCTGCACTTTACTCACATTTAACCCATGGGAGGTTTTATGAGTCTAGCCCACTAATTCTGGAAGTGCCGAGCATGCAAGCCCTGAGTAAGGTAAGTTCGTGTTGAGTATAGCCCCATAAACCCTAACCCCAAACCCCGATGTGCAACCCCACAGTTTTTAATCTCCCCAGATCAAACATGTCCCAAAGTCCCAGCTGGTCATGTCTATGCCAGTTGTGAACCAATAAACCCGAAGCCCCTAGACCCTAAACCAACCCCAACACTCTGTTCATGATCCCCCCCACCCTGGGAGAAGCCAATGGCTGGTGGGTACCTTGCAGCGAGGCAGTCTCTCACAGGCCCTATGTAGGCTTAGGTTTTGGGACTACTTGGGGTGTAGGCTTACCTAAGCCCTTATGCCCACCACCAGGTCAACCCTCCATCTCAACCCAAAACCCCTGGGGCCTTGAAAAGCGCTTCGCGACCGTCCAGGCGAACAACCCATCGCTGCCGGTCACGAGCAAAGCGCTGTAGCTCGCCTACCTGGCTAAGGCAGTTTAGAGTAAAGGGTTTAGGTTCAAGGGAGTTGATCTTTACTGCACCCACACGGGGATAGTAGAATCAGAGCTCGTTTGCGTGTTGCTTATTGGATGGTGATATAATTCAATTTTGACCCAGTTGCGGCTGAGGGTTTAGGGTAGTGGCATCTATGATACGGTCAGGTTTAGGGTTTAGGGCCGCAAAGGCCAACAGTGCCAGGCATACTGATGCTTCACACCCCCTCGTCGTATCCTCTTGCTATTCCAGTCGGGAAGGTGATCCGAGTCCCCTCCGTGAAGCAAAGCATGGATAAATGGTAGTTCCCCCAAAATACTATGACCATTAGAACCCCGCTTATAGGGACCCCCCAGAAAGTACCCTTAATCTAGGAAAGCTCCAAATGATGTCCAATAGTCTGAAACGACCTCTTCAGGGTGACAACTCCACATCTGCTTCCCTAAATTTTCGTGGGTTTAGAGTTTAGGGTTTAGGGGATATTCCGACATGTGAAGCCCTAGACTGCAAACCCTGAAACCTATACCCTGTACTATGAGCCCTAAGCCCCAGAGCCTAAATCCTGCGAACCCATACATTTCAGCTCCCAAAAACGAGCGTGTCATAATGGGTCCTTTCAGCCATGTAGGTATATAGAAGCAAATGGAAAAGAGAAAACGGAAAGTCAAGGGGAAACCTGGATTATTGGGACCCCAACAAGAGAGACCCGGGCTTGGGTGTAGTTCTAGGTTATAGGCCTTAAATTAAGGTGTTGATTCAGGGTTAATCCTGAAACTCCAAACCCTAAGGCCCTAAACCCTGAACCCTGATCCTCAAACCCCTCCCCCCTAACCCTGAACCCTAAAACATATGCCCTAAACGCCACACTGCAGACTCCAAAGCCTAAAGCCGAAACCCTAAACCCTAAACCCGGTAAACCCTAAACCCTAAGCCTTTTAAACCCTAAACCGAAAGCTGCCCACCTTGCCGTTCAGCTGGGCTGCATTGAGCCGGGCCAACTTCACCTACAAGGGTTGAGACTGCCTGAAATTGCTTTGACTGTGTGTGTATATGAATTGATCACACATACATGTATATATATATATGTAGTCTACATGTATATCTATATATATATATATATATGTATTTCTGTATGGGCATTTATGTGTGTATATATATACATCTGTATATATACATATGTATAGAAGACTTAAGGGGGTACCATATACATATGTATGTAACGTAAACATTTGAATGCATAGGGCTAGATGGGAGGTGACAGTTACGTGCATACTTATATATATATACATATACATATACGTAATTGTATTTTGTGGCCCTCATGGCGGAGTGTTCTTTTTGTTGCTAGGTGCCTGGCCCTTACTCTTCTCCTAGAAGTCTTATGGGCCCATACCTGGGGCCAAGGCCTCCAACCTGAGACCCCGCTTGAGGGCTTTAAGGATTGAGGGTTTTAGGGTTTAGGGAATTTAGGGTTTAAGGTTTAGGGTTTTAGGGTTTAGGGATTTTAAGGTTTAGGGTTGTGGGGTTTAGGGGTTTTAGGCCAGACTTTAGGTGGACCCGCCAACCTGTCATATAGTGACTACGAGGGATAACAAGGATCTTACTAGGTTCTTTTGTATTCCTCTTGTCCCACTTTTAAATACAGGGGGTCCTCCTAAGCTAGACTAGTGATTCCAATATGCTCGGTCCTTGGTGCATGGGCATCAGCTCGAATCTAAGTAGATAGACTGCGTCGAAGGGGACACAATCTGGCTATCCGACTTCAGCATGACTGTTCAGGGTTTAGGGCTAGGGTTTAGGGTTTAGGTTTTAGGTTTTATTTCACGTCTCGAGGCAGGTTGCCAACCTCGACGTCTGAAGATTCTTAAGGCTGATCTACCCCCGTCCCGCAAAACTAGCATCAACAGTAATGTAAGCATGGTTACTGCGATATGGTTTTCTCGATATAGCCTAAGCCTATATGCGGGACTCAGGAGGGTGATTGTTCTAAACGGGCGATAATAACATCCGTAAACATCATGGCTCGCAACTGACATCACAAAAAAGATCCTCTCCTGCTCCTCCTTCTCCTACACCTACTATTACTCGTCTTCCTCCTAGTACTACTGGTATTACTACTCTTCGTACTACCACAACTAATTACAACGACCCACCTCACAACTACGACAGCCCGTCTCGCAGAGCTCAGGTCCAGAATTGATTGAGGGTTTAGGGTGTAGGGTTTAGGGTTTGGGTTTAGGGCTTGGGGAGTTTATTACGACCCCCACCCATTCCCCAGACATTTTTTTACAAGATTGGTCCGCGCAGAACTTCAGGGTGAGGGCTTTTTTTTCACAATGCTGACGCTAAGTGGATTAAGAAGGCTATGGGTTTCCAGATTTGTTTGGAGGAGAATATCGTGGCTGAAGGTAAGCACTGAGTGCTTGGATTTTTACAGACAGGAAAGCCGAAGGTCCGCCAGGAATTCTAACTCCTTTACAATCTTTATTTGACCATGAATGCTCACTCAAAAGCCCTGAGCCTTTGAGTTTCCCAAAGCTTTTCCTATGAAAACCTCCCCCACTATTTTCGGAAAGTCCCCGGAACCTTAAGAAGGCAGAGCCCCCGATACGGTACCCATACTACTACTGGGAAATTTCTACCTGAACCCTAAAAGTAGGTAAAACAACAGCCCAAAATCCTTAAACAACAGCCCAATAGGCTATTATTCTACACATTTTGTGGGTTCAGGTATAAGCCCTGGAGGGGGATCTACTCTCTAGATCCTTCCGGGGGGTCTCGGTCCAGACTGTTACCCCGAGCACCCTCAGCCTTAGCCATTCCGAGGTCTAAGTGATTTTCTCAAGGTTTAATGAAGGATTCAGGGTTTAGAGTTTAGAGTTTAGGGTTTAGGGTTCAGGGTTTAGGGTTCAGGGTTTAGGGTTCAAGGTTTAGGATGT